GGAGGGCCTCTCCTGCTGATCGCAAGGGGCGGCTGGGCATATATGGACGTAAGCGCTCCTTCAGGTAACCAGGACCCAAGCTGTTTAGGGCTGTTCTAAATGCAAGGCTGTTGTTGCATTTATGGAGTCACTCCACCTCTTATTCGGTCTTCCTTTCTTCTGCCTTCAACTTTCCCTAGCATGATGGCCTTCTTCAGGGAGTCTTGCCTTCTCATGATATCTGAAGTATGGCAGCCTCAGCTTTGTTATTTTTGCTTTCAAGGAAAAGGTCTGGCTTGATTTGATCCAGGACCCACTTATTTGTCTTTCTGTCAGTCCAGGGTATTTGCAGAGCTCTCTACCATGTTTCAAATGCATCAATTTTCTTTCTGTCAGCTTTCTTCACTGTTCAGCTTTCACACCCATACACAGTGACTTGGAATACAGTGGCGTGAATGATCTTGGCCTTGGTCTCCAGTGAAATGTTCTTACACCTGATGATCTTTTCTAGTTCCTTTAAGGCCACTATAAATCAGAGATGCCTTGACAGCATATAACAACAAATGCATCATCATACTGTAAACTCAGAGTTCACTCTAAGAGATACTTTCTTTCAAAGGCTGGGAAAGGGTTGACTAAATATTATCCTAAATAGCTGAACAAACAGCACCTTGAAATAGTTAGGTGATTGCTTAATCATGAAAATATATCTGAATGTTTAAGGCTGAAAATATTTTTAAAAATCAGTGCAGTGGTGAAGTACTTCACAGTGCAACTATGCAAAGGAAGGTTCCCCCCCCCACACACACACACACAAACGGAAAAGAGTTCTGCAGTTTTAGAGTAGCTCACTTTGAATGAAGAATAGTCAGTTTTGGAGGACACAGATAGGCTGGTGCCTGTGCCTTCACCAATAGTCTAATTCCCATAGCAGTTTGCAACTTAATATTTATGAAAGTAAAGCCTAAAGTGAGTAGATTCCCATGCTCTGTATAGATATATATTATTAGTATTACTTTCAAGACCAGTTCAGTGTTTCTCTGATCTTTACTGTATGGCTATATGTTTTTGTGTTTTGTTTGTTTTGTTAGAGAATATTTTTTTAAAAAAAGGCCTTAGCCAACTCTCCAATAGTTACCCTGTCCAGCATAAGGCTTGTTTCCTTATATATTCCATCTGCACAAACCACTTATTTTGGATCTAAGTGTCTTTCATTATTCAAAGGCAGCTTTTATGTTGTACTATAAATATTAAAGTTGGAAGATCTAGCAATTTTGCTAAACTGCAGTTTTAAAAAATAACCTTTCTCAAGCTTGTTTATTTATATTAGTTTGACAACAGAACCTGATGCTTAATTTCCATAAAAAGCTTTCCTCAAATCCATTAATCATAGTCATTTTAAATAGCATCTATGATTTGATAATTGAATAGATAGCATCATCAATTGCTAGTCACTCAGCCAAATATTTGGAGAAATAGATTCTAAAGTTAGTTCAAAATGTGAATAAAACTAGAATTCAGTGGTACTGAATTTTAGAATTTTCAGTAGAGTAGATTCAGAATATGATTCTCCCAGGCTGTAACATCCTATGCCATGCAATCATTTCCTTGGTGGGGTACATGTGATTTTTGGTCTCCTATGTCTCCAAAGTTAATGAACTGGACAAAAGCACAGAAAATTCCCATGAACCCAGATAGAAACTGATATTCTAAGATCCGAGTTTTTTCTGAGAATTGTTCAAGAAGGCTCACAAAGAAGCAAACAAACATATAATGCCCCCACCACAAAAATAAATGAATACACACATACATACTGGGGAGAACGCACCCATCATTATGTGAAGCCCAATGACTTCTATTAGAATACATGGGAGTCAGTTTCCGTAATGGCTATGGATCCAATCTGAACTGTTACAATCTAGGTATGTGTAACTCAAGTGAAATTTGTTTTTGTACAGAGATATAGCATCTTTTAAGCTGCATTTATGTCAATAGTGAAGCAGAAAGTCATGATTGACTGAAAGAAAAAAATGCAATTATGCTTCACCTTGTTCTCATTCAGCACATTTGCAAATGCCTTACCCTTGTATTTTCTGTAAATGGAACAACCTCATTATTTTCTTTAAATTAAATAAGGATTTTTTTTAAAGCACCATAAATGTACTGCTTCTCAGTACCAGTAAAAATAGGCTACATTACATGCATAGAGAATGCTATGCATATACTAATACCTTTATTAATGTTTAGTGCAGTTATGTATTCCAGATGGCAGAATTCTTTTCTATAGCATTAATGAAGAAGGGAGATGAAAATGTAGGAAAGACTTGAAGCAAGAATCAGCAGCCGGGATTTTATTAAGGTCTGCAAATATGTCAGTGCTGTGCGGTGGCAATACAGCATCCTAGAAATAAGTATATGTGTGCATGTATGTATTACTTGTAAGCCACCTAGGAAGGCCTTTGGCAGTTATAGGTGGTATATAAATATGTGAATGAATGAATGAATGAATGAATGAATGAATGAATATGCGAGGAGAACCACAGGTTTGTTCTGTGACTCTGCTTGAAAATGCAGCATTCTGATGCTGCGGCTATCAATCAAGGCAAGGCTCTCACTGCAATTTCATTTCCTTCTCATCCAACATCTCGAGACTTTAGCGGACAATAGCAGAAGAAGATTGACACAAAAAGAATGAGAAAATGGCATGCTGTTAAAATCCAAGGTGCCAAAGGCTTAAATAAGAGTTTGCATCATACCGAAGCATCAGACAGCATCAGATCTTAACATCCTCAAAGCAAAATAATATTCTGCTTTCAGCTCTTGTAGTTAATGGATAGATTGCATAGTCTGGTCTGACAATTCAAACCCACAAAACAGTACTTCAGTGTACTGCAAAGTCAATAGCGTTTCATTCTGCATTATTTATTTATTTATTTATTTATTAAAACATTTTTATGCCGCCCCATTCGCCGAAGCCTCGGGGCGGCTTACAACATAGATAAAACAAGTTAAAATCCATATGCTGCATCACTTCCTGGATGCCATCACAAAGAATGAGTGACAGTCTTATCCTGTCCTATCCTATCCTACCCTATCCTATCCATCCATCTATCTCATTTCTAATCCACCCAATCATCAATTATCTCTGGGTGGATTACAAAGTATGGCACATGCATTGGGTCTGGCCAGATCCCAAACTGAATCAGGCCACTTGCACCAATTCTATAGTACCCTGAGGTGAAGCAGGCTTTCCCCCAAAACAACCAGCACAGATTTGTTCATCAGAAAGCATCTGGAGTGCTTTGGCACAGGCTGTTTAGTTGTCTTTTTGCTCCAATGTGAAGTCAACTAGATTTGGGAAGTTTCACCCAGTTTGACTTCATTTTTCTCTGAAATTTGACAGAGGCCTCAGAAGAGTGTAGCATTTGGTCCTTCTGTCTCTGCCAGTGTCCAACATCCACTGCATTTATTCTGCTTTCTTTGACTTTGGTGCTGACTAAGCAGAAAGTAACAACAAGAAAAAGCCTTAAGCTGACTTTCGTTGTTCATGACGCCTAGTCCTCGGACTTCTCTTTTCTCACTCGCACAAAAGATAAACAAACATTGCAACAGAGCACAGGGTGGGGAAATGAACCTGAAAACTGAAGATTTCCCTTGCATAAAACAGCTGCATCAAGCTTACTGAAGCCTAGTAGTTTACCTACCAAAGTTTACCTCTATGTAGTATCCTATTTTCCTAATAATTTCCTAAAGCAAGAGAGTTTAGTGCATCCCTTTAAAGAAAGGACTGAAATTGTAAAATAATGTTCTTGCAACTAAGAACAAAATAGAAACTTTGCATCTATACATTGCACACTTAACAGGCTTCAACTTATCAATAGGGGGAACTGTGCCTGCAAATTTCATCCAGTTCTGGCAAGAGATAAGAAAATTATCAGCAGTTGTCTTTTATTAATAACTTTAAAGAAGCTTAGTGCAATCCCTCCCACCTGGTAAGCTTAACCCCACTCCTACACCAGAAGGGGCTACTAAGCCAGTAAATTTTATCCAGTTCTGACAAAGGGCAAAACTATCATTGTCATTTCTTAATTTCTTATGCTACTTAATGGGAGAGATGACGTGTCAGTTTCCTTAATCCTGGTTAAGATGCAAGTCTCAGTAAAACTGGGTTCTTTTTCAAATTGCTGTGTTGGAATCCAAGCCCAATCCTGGGATCAATATATCTCACAACTTATATTACAGCTCGGCACAAGAGAATAGATTTCAGAATGCTATTACAAAGCTAGTCAGTATATACTATCTGCAGGGATGAAATGGCCTTCAACACCCTATTTGAGGGATGCAAAAGGGGGAAATCTATGTGCAGTGGTGGGAAGGAAAATCGTCGAATTGATTTTGTGGGGTACAGGGGGGAATCCAAATGAATACATATATGCTCTCTCTCTCTCTCCCCCCCTCTCATTCATTCCCCCCTCTCCTCCTCCCCCTCTCCACCTCCATCCAGGCAGGCCCAGATTATAACCCACCAGAAAGAATATGAGCCTGGTCTAATACAGAGACTCTCCAGCTGGATTGCTTAGTCTCTTGAAACTTGAATCTGATTGGAGATAGTGCCCGTGCGCTAAGAAGTGAAGCCTGGTGAAACTGAGCTGAAAATTAGTAGTGTCTGGCCAGTCAAGGAAATAGGCTATCTGTGCACTGTACCTAAGAGCAAATCTGATGGTTGTGGGGGTGCGGCAATGACAAAACCTCTGAAACCAAGCAGAAAATAGCTTTCCTGTTGATAGTCAATCCCTTTTACTGAAAACAGTGGGAAGCAGGCTAAAGATCTGAAACTTCAGGTCAACTCTGAGACCTAGGAACCATCTGGATGCACCAGGAAAATAACATCACTGAATCATTTGGACAAAACACATTATTCAAACCAAATGAACATGGTACTACAGGAAAGAAAAAGAGTGTAACCTCACTAGTGCTGACTTCTTCAAACAAACTACAGGATTAGCATTTTAGATACTCACCATTCCGACTTTCTTCATCAATTGGAACTATGGTTGCTGGAGGCCCTGTTCTGGCCAACTTGCAGTCTACAAATATGAAAACACAAGTTACTTCAAATTCCACAGTGCTGTGCTTTTCATAAAATAAAGGTATTGTGGGTGTCATTTTTTTAAAAAAATATGGTGAATAAAGCTTTGGTCTAAACTCTTGAGGAGGCACTTTCAGGTTCCAACTTACTTACCCAGGTTTGATTTAGCTCTTGGTTATGTGAGCCTCTTGTGACCTAGGATTTCTTAGGATGGCCCTTACAAATGCTGGCTTTAACAGCAATGCATATCAGACATCACATTTTGCTTTGCTAAGATTTACTTGCTAAATTTAACATTTTTATGTCGCGTACACAAACACCATGTCTTTGCCACATCACAACACAATACAATTCACTTGCTACTCTTTAATCATGTCTTGTGCTAAATGGAGACCCATAGAGACCGCACTATGAAACAGAAGTCCTTCAGGAAAAAGATAATGTGATGGTAATTTAAACCAAAATAACAACATAAAAGAATGATTAAAAGGAATAAATTGTAATTAAAGCTTCACAAACAGAAACAAACATAATTGAAATATAATTGCAACACAAGTCTCTAATTAGCAAGAGTGAACAGAATTTCAATAAAGTTCTAATCAGAGTAAAAATGAAAAAAAAAAAAAAAACAGACAAGCAATTTTCAGGAAGTTACAGTTTGCCTTCTTACCCTCATATTGCCAGTCTGGAAGGAAGTTAAGAGTCATCAATGGAAGCAGAGCAGAATAATGGAAGAAAATAAGTAAGATATTGTTGTGGTTTATAGGGAAAGCTTAAAGACACATAAAGCAGTACAAGTTTAGGCACGTGTGTATGTTATATTCTGCAGAATGCAGAGAAGTGTATTGTTACATTGGAATATCATAACACACATAGTAAATGCCATGTGCAGAAATCCAAACAGCGCCATCCACAGATTAGACTGGATCAAATTCTTCTAATCCAGTAGGTTCTTCTGTACATACACATAGTGGCTCAAAAGCACAATGACTTTCCAATTCACTTTTGTGGAGGAGTCAATTGCTACACCATTTATTCAGGCTTATACAAAATGGATTCAGTGGCCAAATCTACATTATTTCAAGATTTTAAGCAATCTGTATCAATCTGCCAAGATCAGTGTGATTTCAATTTAATGGAGAAAGGAAGGAAGGAAGGAAGGAAGGAAGGAAGGAAGGAAATTATATTTCAAATAATGGCAGCAAGTCTATGCATCTTGACATTGCTTCATTGGTTCCTAACAGCTGCTTGTGTTACTGGAAGCCACTTCTGTGCAAGAGCTCTGCTGAACCACAAGATTCTATATATCAAAGTTATGGAATCTTGTCACTGATACAATTATTTCCAGTGGTACATCTGACTGTTAAGTCTTTTGTACATCTGACTCAAAACCTCCAGAGTAGGCAAGAAACCAGAAACCAATGATTAAAGAATATAGGATCCATCCTAGATTGTCAGATAGAAGGTGTATTCTTAAAAACAGCAGAAACAACTACTAGTAGATTAATTCTCCTAAGCAAACCAGACATCATGAGTGAATTGCAGCAAAACTTCAATGTGAACCCTCCAGTAGCATTCCTACTCATGCCTGTGATATTGTTTGTAACACTGAAACAATTCAGTCCATCTTTTACACCTATATTGCTTGCACATCACAGCTTTTATTCTCATAACCTGGAGAATTCAAGTGCATCTGTCTGTTAAGCAGTCTTGAGAAACATTGTTCAATCCTTTAGCATGATGAGTAGACCTGGATTGTACGAACTCCATACAAGATGTGTTGCATGTTCAAAAATGGGCTTCCTGAATTAAATTTTACAAGTCACTGAGCACTGAAATACACATTTCCCCGGTATTGAAGAGATTATTAAGAATGAAAGAAATACAGTCATGTTGAAAGCACTGCAATCACTTTCCACTAGTGGTGAATATTTATGGAAAACATTTGCTTTGTTATCTCTCTTTTTAGGCAAGACATATCTTTTGTAATGTTATTTTTTGTTTTGTTTTTTCCAAATTGGTATCCCCTCCTAATGCCAGAGACCTCAGTGTGGTATACATGGGTATATCTTAATTTATGTCATTTGGCACCATCTGAGATAAATGAGGGTGGACTTCAGCGACTTGACCAAACCTACTAACCCAGTGGGTTATATGGCCAAGTAAGAATTATGACATGGCGCTTCCACATCCATATCCAAAGCCATTTCAGCTATAGTACCATTAGAGCTTCCTTATGGCATGTTGTTGTCAAAACAACTGCTGCTAAATGGATGCATCACAATCTAAAGACTATAGGTACATGAGGTCTGAGAAGTCTGTGAAAACAATGTATACTTTTCATATCAGTACCTGGATGGGGGAATTTCTTAGGCAGAGCTTGCTCCAGGTTTGAGAGGGCTCAGTAAAATACCATCTGGTGCTCACCAATATCAGTGTCCCTCTGAATGGACTTACCGATAACAAGCAATGCAGCTATCTGAAGTATTGGGCTTGGCCCCAAGTGTGAAGGTCTTACAAATTCTCACAAATTTCAAAGAAATTTAATAGGGGTTTCACATTTCCTGGCCTCGATCCCCTCCTGTACCACCAAAGAGGATTTGGGGACAAAAGAGGCCTTCTCCATAAATTCAACCCACGCTATGCAATGACTTACCAGAAGACATGGTTCTACCTACTTCAAGTACAGAGGCTGTTAAAGCCCTCACCATCCCCACACCATGGCATCTAGCAGCTACATAATCAGAAAATGACTCTGAAAGAACAAAAGGCTTATCTGAGGGATCAGGGTTAACTTCAGGTCTAGGTCTGCCAGATTTTACCTAGCTTGGAGCTGTCCAAGGTACTGAAGGATCATGTCTGGTTGAGTATGGCCTTATTAACCAACCTGACTTGACATAATTTCGTGTCTGACTGACTAGCTTTGACTTTGCTTTCTCATAGATAAGCTTGCCTTATTGTTTGTGACACCTCTAGGCACCTTGGAACTAGATGGATATGAGAGAGGTTCATTCATTTCTAAAATGAAATAAATATACTTCCATTAATGTTAACTCATTCCTATAAGAGGCAAATGAAAATATATCAATAAATGAAAATCCTTACATTTTAGCTCTCTTATTTGTTTTTATTATTTCCATTTATTTCTCAAAGGAGACAGAAACTGACAAGAGGCAATGCATTGCATTATTTTACAAATTGATCTACTTCTCAAATATTCTGTAGGGAGGGCTTTCAAAGTTACGAGAAATGAAGCATAGGAACATTGGTTTAAGGTTTGCAAAAGGGCTCTGAGGAAGTGCATTCCATTGTTTAACACACTGATATATTCAGGGAATGTTCTATAGGGAGGAAGAATCTTGTAAGTTCTCTGGAAGTGACAAAAATGAGAACTGCCCAATCAGGAGGATAAATCAATGGGAAGCTTTGGAGATGTCTTTTCATTTTTAATAGCTTATAAAATGGGAACCTGATGTTCAATTTCTGTGAAATTTGGCATGTCCAATGTCTTAGGAGAGTTGTACAAGACAATACCATATAATTTGAAAGGAAATCACCTAAGTTATGGGCACCTAAAGTCTAATCAGTGTGGAAATAAAAAAGAATGAGGTTTTTTTTTTAAATGAAATAATAATGAAAACAAAATTAAATGAATGAGATAATAAAAATGGAAAATGAAACAACTGGGCTTCCGGGCTTCCAAAATTACTTTTCCACCCAAATGCACATCCCTATACATCAGTCTCATGGTATGCCATAGATAGCATTTTAATTCCATGTATTCCAATTATTTTTTCTGGGCATCTATCCATTTTTTAAAACTCTCAGAGCTCTTTTAGTAGAAAAATGGTCCTGCAATGGTCCCCCATGCTAGCTGAGGAATGCTGCGATCTGTAGGAATTTTTTTCTGTCTAAACATAAATAACTTTTCATTCTTCCATGTTAGTTGTTTCATGTGCTGAGGACACAAGTCTCAACAAGTATTCAATTCAATGCCATTTTCAATTTTTCAGAAATTCTGAATGTTATTACAAGCATCTTCCTTGACAAGGGAAAATATGAGTTAACTTTATTTAAATCTTTTCTACACTGTCTACCACTGACATCTCAGGACAGCTTACAATAAATAATGTAAAATAATAAAAATAAAATAAAATAAAATCTTTCATGGTATCCTTTAGTTTATTTCTGAATTATTGTATAGAATAAAAAGGAAACTGTAGATCAGACACAAGGAAGCTGTTTCAGCTTGAGAGTGTTGTTCAGTTTTGGAAAAGCTCCCATGGACTGCACTCCAATGGTGGGTAGGACCAAAACCCAAAAAGATGAGGCCAAAAATACAGCACATTTTAATTTTAAACCTTTACTGCCTCAGCAGAGTGATACCAACTGTTCATAGTGGGGTAAAGAATGCACAAAAAGTAGGAAATATAAAATAATCTTTGGTTGGGCAAAAAGGGGTAAGAACCAGAGGATGGAGAGATGGCTATCTGGGGATTCCTAGAGTGCCAGATTGGAGCCCCAGGAGGGCTGTATTTTGCCTCTGGGCCTCAGGTTCCTTAACCCTGCTGTAAATAGACAGGAAGTATTATGTTTCATAAGTGCAATTTCAGCAAATACTTTTTGATCTTTTCTCTTTTCTTTCACTCTTTTTGCCTCATATTTCTTCACATTATTTCATATAATATTAATAATCACTAGGAGAATCAGCTTATATGGAACTAGGATCTGACAAAGCATTTCTGGAATCAGTAGTAAAACAGACGCAGCCACAGCGATTCAAACTTCACTAAGCTTTAAGTTGGTGTCCTGAGCTGATTCAATGTTCTTAACGGCCCTTTCCAACTCTGCTTTGATTCAGTAACCTACCGAGCAGAATTCTGTACTGCACCCCACATGAAGCTGTCTTTGAAAACTTTCTGTGAAGTCCAGTAGGTCCCAAAGGCCACTGCAAACCTATTTTCTGGGTCTGGTTGATCTACACATTGGCTCACTAGTTGCAGAATACGAGGCAGACCCTTTGTGGAAGTTTAGCACACCTGAGTCTGGTCAGCCTCTCGCTAGGAAACCACCTAGAAACCCATGTAGCTACCTTGACCACCATAATGAAAGTGGGTCTAAATGTAAACAAATTAATACAAGTGGTTTTTTGTTCTCAAAAGAGACAACACCCCCCTCCCCCGCCCTGCAATGTTTACAGTAAACAGACAGAGAGAACTTACCTAAATGGTGAAAACACTTGCCAAATCAATGGCTGCTTGGTCAAGTGTAAAGGAGTTCACACTCAATTAGCAGTTTGGGGGAAAAAGGCTTAACATTATATTAAAGATGTCCATGCACCTATACAACAAGTAACCTCTCATTTCACAGCATTCAGGATAGTGTCCATGAGAGTAAAATGTTTAATATCAAAATAATGGTGTGATAGATATCCTTACCATGGATCTAAAATTCACTTTTTAATTGTATTTTCACAAAAAATATATGAAATACAGCAGCAACAAGTGCTGTTATACACCATGGTTTTCTCACCATATTGAAAACCATCTTTTTTAAAAGAACATCTTTAAAACAAATCAAAAATTCCAGTGTAAGAACAAAACAGAAAAAGTGATGAGCCAAGTATTATTAGTAGTATTGCCTATAGCATGCTGAACACTCTGTATAATGAGTCTCTAATGCCTC